TCAACTCCAACCATACTCCCTAGTTTAGGGAATTATAAATTATTTATTTATTTTTTAAGTTTGGTATAAATGCTCCCTCTTCATATGAAATAATAATGAAAAATATTTAGCATTCAATAAATATTTAAAATAGCATTAAAGTAAAGCAATATTTAATTATAGGGAGACATTCAGAGTCCTTTTTCTCTCCTTATATTTAGGAGTTTCTAGAGATCTTTCTATTTTAGGAGTTGGATAGAGAGCATGGTTAGAGGTGGGTTTTCTCACTTCTTCCCTAAATTTTATCAAAAAAGGTGATTTATGGAGTTCATTGTAAATGCTCTTAATCATCTTTCTGAATGTCCCAGTTATTGTTCATTTCCTTTCCCCTAACGAAAGAAACACTGTGGGACAGGTTTTGTTTTTAGGTTTTTGAACGAATAGGTTGGTAAGTGACTTTTGGGGTAGGGATGGGAATTGTTGAGTGTCCTGATCTCATCGTGCTCTTCCTCTTTTTTTTTCTAATTTCAAACGAATGGATATGGATATGGCTTCACTTTCAGGGCCAGCAAAGCAACCCATTCAGGTGGGGATGAAGAGGCATGGGATTGATTCTCTAGAAATCGTCGTCCCCATAACCAATTATTTTGGTCAGATGTCGTTTTTTTATGAAGGCGAGGGAGAGAGAGAGAGAGAGGCAATAGTACAACCCTAAACAAGTCATGTCGTTTTAGGGGAGGGGGCATTAGAATGAGAGGTAAATCACCAGCGTGAACACTTTGCATACCATCCTAAATAATTCAAGATGATGATGTAACTTAAGAAAAATTGATTGTTTGGCAAGTTGAAAGCAAAAGCGTGCAGCGATGGTCAACTATATGAAAAAGTCAGTGGAGTGGAGTACCAAATGGAGGATAAACTTGCGTAGGAAATTGTCAAAAAATAATTAGATGAGATCAAACCATGCTAGGTGTTTTAACGATATTCGGAGCGGTCTCTGTCTACATATATCAAGCATGTCTGACTGAATTATATTTGATTTGGCTTCTTTACATTACAATAGTTGGAACATCTCATTGGCCATTGGGTCAATTGAGCTTATGTTCGAGGGAAAGAGGCAAATAGTGTTGTATGTGACAAAAGTTTTTGTGGGCTTTTGGAGAACATTGCGTTGCTCCAGGTTTTTTGCAGGCTGTATTTTTAGCTGCGATGTGTTGCTTGTTGGTTAAGACAGGCTAGGTTGGGCCCTTAGGTTGGGCTCAATGCTGACGTTTTCTCTATATGCGTTAGGCGTGCCGCTACTAGTGTTTTACTCTTCTAGTAGAAAGAGAAGATGAATGATTAGGTAATGTGAAGATGGTGTTGCACTCGTTGATCTTAACCTCTAACCAAATCCATTGTGCTCCAAATGGGGAATCTGGCTTGGATAGGTTCTTTTCTATGCCTCGATTAAGAGGACTTCAACATTTCACTTGCTATGGAATAGAACTCGGAAGAAATAACAACTTTAAACTGATATCGAACAGAAAGTACAATACAAGTTCATAGATAAAAGTGTCCGAAAGACATAATATTGTTACAAGAAGGTAAACGCAAGTCCGTATGGACCTAAATACACTTAATTAACACAAAAAGTAGTCTAACAGAGCCTAAGGGAACCTTATCGGACATAAACAACACTCCTTGGACACCACTGTAATCTATTTGAGACAATACAATGAGTCTGATGAGGGTTGTCAGCACTATCTGCAAAGCTTCAGAAAGGCTTGCAGATACTAATTTGGTCTTAGATAAGCTAGAACAAGTAGCTAACTTATAAAATCATACCAAGCACTTATGTTGGCAGAGCATTAAGGTAATAAACAATAGCACCGTAATTCCAATCAGGCGTTGTCAACTGGGAATTAGATAGAGTATGTGTTTGGGAAAAGAAGAGAATTCCAATGAGGGGTTGTCAACTATGAACTCCAAATTATGAGAGGATTTGATTCAAGTCTTTGCCTTTGGTCTACTATGAGACGCATTTGAAAAGTTGTTTGAGTCGAGTGTATTTGAAGTTTGTTCAAATAAGTTGTTTATTCTTGGGAAAGATTGGTTGTCCCTTGAATCAAATCTCTTTCGGTTGTTTATAGCCTTTTTGGTTCCTTGGTTTTGTACACTTGGCAAAGGAGTGTTCTCACTAAGTACCAATTTTTTCCCTACAAGGGAGTTTGGCGGACCTATGATTTTTTCTTAGTTCTTGTGATTTAGCTAGTTTAAGCAAGTTGGTGCGGTTGATCTTCACAGTTCAAATCATATTTAATGTAGTTGTCTTGCCTTCCTTCTACCGTCTGACTTTCCATCAGTTGTCGAGGTCAACTTTGAGTTCAAAATTGGATGTTCGCACCTTTAACCAAATAAAAGCAACGGTCTTCTGGGATTAACTAAAAACCTTTAAATAAACAAATCCTCTAATCTTTGTTTATTTAACTCAATAATTTCTTTTTCGGAACCAATAATGAAACACCACGTGTTGGTAGAAACCTTGATTTTCCTTTTAATTCACAAATTAACATTTTCTGTTAATTTATGAGTTTTAAGAAAAGAAATAAACTTGTTATTTTGGGGGATTCAATTATTATCTGTTTTTAACAGCCATTTAATTTGGCTAGAAATAAACTTGTTATTTTGGGGGATTCAACCATTATCTGTTTTTAACAGCCATTTAATTTGGCTTTATAAACATTAATTGATTTCTATAATCTTCATTGGACGTACTTTATTATCCGATGAATCCTTGTCTTTTCTGGTTGACTAATCGTTGGTCAATGCTTCTTTAACATCCAGCGCTATCCGATGGGCTTTTGGGCCTTTGGACATGAATTTGTTAAGTTTTGGCCATTTTTTTTGTTGGTTTTGACAACTGGGCTTTAATCAACTCACCACAAAATCAACCATTGATTGATGGCAGAAATTGGGTTGTGCTAATTTTGGTCCAAACAAGTGTTTTGTTTTTCAACCCCTTGCTTAATAGATATATACACGGGCGCTTATTAACAAAAGTGCTTTCTAATACATAAATATTTACGAATTAGCAATAAATTACAAAAGGCAATTTCTATTTTAATAAACATAAAATATGATCCCATTGATTAACCATTATTTGTTTCATTGCTTCATCTTCTAAAAAACTAGAATTCCACACAATGTTGAAAACAAACCAACAATCTGAATAAGTCAAAGCAGTAGTAAAATCCTGTCAAACAAGCATTAAAAAATGAAAACCGGAAATCCTAAAACCAAATCGGTAGCTAAATAGGCATATGGTCTCATCCAGTGTAGATGTGAACGCCAACAGCGATGAGGAAGATGGTGAGGAGGCCAAAGAAGATGATGGTGTGGACGAGGATGGAAATCCCACTTGTATGCATGCTCCCGAACTCCACCACTCTTCCCCTCCCAGGCAGCTGGAACAACAGCCCTGGACTTAGCAGCACGAACAGCACCACTGCTATCACCACCGGCCCCCAATCCGCCATTGTTATCTTCTTCTTCTTACTTCTTTCGTTTACTTCTCTTTGTTTGTGTTTTGACTGTCACCAAGATTTTCTGTGCGCCCTTCTTTTAAAAGGGAAGGAAGAAAAGAATCAAAGAGTAATTGAGCAACTGAAGAAAGGAATGTTCAAAAGAAGGAGAATCAGTGTGGAAGAAGAAATCTTCTGCCAGCTTATATATATATATATATATGTAAACCAAAATGCTTAATATAAGACCTCAACTTTTTCTTCTAACTTTTGTTTATTTCTTAAAGATTGATTGAGGTCGGTGCCTTGTGGAGGATGCTAATTAGACACATGGCAATGGAGCAACGTCACGAACAAAACCCTTTTAACAGGTGTGCTCAATGATCCTCCTCCTTAATCCTTTTGATTATGACACCCTAATATCATATACAAGTTATTCATATTCTTTACTTTAATTAATTCCTTGTTCTTCACTCAAAAGGCTCTTCTTCTTCAGTGTCCACTGAACAAATAAAGAACCAATTATAGCCCTCAAAATTCCTGCAGAGTTGCAATTGGATCCTCTGGTTTTTATTGAAACAACATTGACCCCTACTTTTTTCTGAATTTGCATGTCTGATCTGATGTCTCCAACATAATAATATCAATCTCAGTATGAGTAACTACATATATATGTAGACACAGTGTTGCCAAATTCCGATAAATCTAATAAATTTGATGAGTTGTATGAACTACATATATATGTACCAACGAAATTGTATTTGTAAGAATATGTAATTTGTAATACAATAAACAATAAATAAGTGAAACTGACTTGGATTCGAGATAGAGGCTTGCAGATTTGATGCAATATCCTAAATAAAGTAATTTCACCCCTTCTCGGACTTTATATAATATTCAAAACCCAAATCAAATTTGAAGCCCAATTAGCTTCCACTTGGCTCAACTTCCATTTATTAAGTGCGAGACTAACACACTTATAAAGACCTCATTTTTCTTTCTTTTACCAATGTGGGACAAAAGTTCTTGAATTTCATTCAAACTTCCAACAGATATGTTGGTTATGGATCATTGTTAACATTTCTAGATTGTCTGCAATTGATTGTGGTGCAAGTAATTTACCCTCTTTGAAGGCTCAAACTGGTAATTTACTCTTTTATCACAGTGTTGCTTTTACCCTAAGTAAGATGAACTTCATCCAATAATATATATATTATATGTGTGTGTGTTTTTTGGAAATGTTAAGGTTTACAATAATACATGGACCACACCTCCACTGTCATTGGAGGCTGCTGCTTTATCCGTGAGTGAGCTAAGCCAATCAGCAATGAAATAGGCATATCCAGTGATCCAAATCGAAACTACAATCATCCAAGATTTTACCACTAGTTTAATTTCACAACCCAAAACAAGTAAAACTAATTTCATTCAGCAAGAACAGAACTTGGTGGTCAACAAGTTTATAGGTCTTAAGCAGTAACCACAAGCCAATGAAAACATGGCACAAAGAACACACAATTTTCAATCAATCAAAGCCCCCTCACTTAGATATTATTACTAAACAATATTTAGTTCACAGACACAACATTAACTGTAACTAATAAGTTACAATGGAAGACCAACAGACTAATTATTCCCCGGACTCTGTTGGTACAAAACAAAGTTGGTCACATCTTCTTCTTGTTTCCTTGGTGTCCCATTTTCACCACAAAAACAGCGGAGCTGGTAAATAGTTAACCAAGGTAAAAATGGACCTTGATGGCCAACAAGAAGACGCAAATGAGAGCAAAGTAGAGGAGGGAGTGAACCATGATGGCTGCACCACTTGTTTGAAAGTTCCCAAACTCCACGCAGCCATGGCGCCCAGGCAACTGGAAAAGCAGACCTGGAGACAACAGCACAAACAGAATCACTGCCACGAACACCGGGCCCCAATCAGACATCCTTAAAACTCTCTCTCTCTCTCTGTGTTCTGCTGGAACAAAGAAAGTTAAGTTGGTACCAAAAATGCTGCAATGAGAAATGGTAGGTTTGGATTTGGGGGTTGTAAGTTATATATGGAGAAGAGAAGAAGACTTTGATTGGAAGAAAACAAACATTGACTGGCAGACTGGAAGTGAATTGGAAATGAGATAAAGAGAGAAGAGAGTGTGTGGGGGGGAGGCTTGGGAAAACAAGTCACTTGGATTCACTCTCCGCCGTCCCATTTGTGTTTGTGTGTTTCTTTCTAGTCTCTCTGTTTTCGCCATGTGACGAGGAATAAGAGCCACTGAGTCAAGTATTGCTTGCTTGTTAGGCTTCTTTCCCATTTAATGCTGCTGGGCCATCACTAATACAATTATACAAGGGCTCCTCCTTCTCCAGTTTTTTTTCTTTCTATTTTTTGTTTATTATTATCTTTTTTCATTGGGTTGGGCTCACACTGAGGAAATGCAGAAGGGTTCAAGGGAGTGTGTTGAAGGGTTCAATCTGGTTTCTCAACAATGGCTCTATAATTAATCTGACGACTATTAAAGTCCCCCTCATTATAACCCCTCGTTACACTCAGGAACAAGCTGAAACAATTTACAATGTTTGGTTAATCAAGTTAACTTACTTAATCACTTTGTGACAAGAACTTTTCAGGAAAGATTGAAAGAGCAGACAAAAATAGATGAATTCCATCTGATCAATCTTCTTAATTCTATCTTAACCAAAAAGCCAAAAAAAAAAGAGAGGAGCTTATTATTAGATTGCTAGCTAGCAGCTAGCCACTTTTTTTTTTTTTTTTTTTTTAAAGAAAGATAAAACAAACACGAGATGGCCGAGTAGGCCACCAAAAGCATAGAATTAAGTCTCTACACTACAGAACTGCTGCTTTCCAATCTAGGTGGATGAGCTGGAAACTAATGTCCCTAAACTCAGTTGAAACAGATGCCAAACAAAGTGTAGAGATTTGTGTAAAGATTTTCTGGTTTAGAATTCTTTCTTATGTCTTTCATTACTTACAATCAACACATATATATACAAGTTCCTAAGCCCACCAAGTTAGGCAACCAACCTAGTTAGGCAACCAACCTAGTCAAGCCCCCCAAATATTGTAGGTGCCAAACATAGTAGGTGCCAAACATTAATTGACTACATAATTAACACATGTTAATTGACTACATC